AAAAAACAATACAAAACTGTTTAAATTGATTAGAAGTGTTAAGCGCAAAGTTTTTACAAAATTTTATCTTTCTTATTTTCATTAATCAACATCTTCATCAGTCAATTTTTCTTTTCAAACTACCCATGAGTGTACAGAGAATAGAATTTACCTAACTCGGACCTGCGCGTTGCCCACCCTTCGAAGAATGCTGTGTTCCAAGAGAGAGCCACCGAGCCATTTATTAATTAACGCTCAAGACCTAGTCTCATCTTCTTAAAACCGAAATAACAATCGAGCGGGACTTAGGCGCGAGCCCCCCAATTTCATTCCTAATTAATCCAATCGGTCAATTCATTAAAGGGAGATCTGGCCATGGGATAGGGCGTTGTGGTCGGATGATCTCAGTACCATCTACATTTCATATATGGGCTCTAATTAGACCTCAATAAGATTAGAAATTAATACGGGACAGCTGCTTTCATCCGGAAGAAAAGTTTTCCTCTTGGCGTGTTTAACCAGAGTTTTATAGAGAGTTAATAACTCTCGCCTCTTGATAAAATTAAAGAGGAAGGCATTGGGATATAGTTTAAGTATATGGATAGAAGTTTTATTATGTTTTCTGTTGGGTGGGTGCTTTAAAACTTCTCTTTTAGATATAGACACAATTCTAAGGGCTCGCATATTCAACCGCATCATTTTTTATAACAAAGTTTTAAGAAAGGTAAAGATTTCTTATAGTTGATCAGTATATTCAGTGGAATTTTTAGTGATATGTAAGGTTATGAACTAAATCTGACGGTGATAAATTTCAAACTGAGATATTCTTGGGTTTAAGGCTTAGGTGTGGCGTATTTCTTAATACAAAATCTCTAAATTAATTGATTACTTTGTCATTTTCGTTGGTTGTTAGATATTAAAAATGCAAAAGATAGCAGCTTATCTCATATCTGTTATGTTCGTAAATTGATAATTAATCAAAAACTCTTTAAATAAAAGAATGATACAACCAAAAATGTGAAACATCCAATTGTAATATGATACGTGTTTTAAAGTACAGTAATAAAATAAACTAAAATTATTATTGCGTAGGAAATATTCTTTGTTTTTTGTAATTTGTAAGAAATATGAACTTTAATACTGTCGCGTAATATTTCGACGCAATGAAAAAATTAATAACGAAGTTGTGACGAGGTCTTAAATTCACCGAAATGAAAAGCAATATAAATCTTTAATTAAGATGTATTATCATTGTCAGAGATTTTTATGATTTTTAATTTTCCATTTTACAATTAAATTTTTGCGTGAGAGAAAGTGATGTTTCATTAACATCTTACCTAAGTAGTATCGGCAATATTTGTAAATAAATAATAATCTCATCACAATTTTAAATGTATTTTCTCTGTATGCTTTTTATCTATAAAATAGAAATCTACTTTTCATCTAAAACTCTACTCAGTGGTGCAACAGACCATGAGGGCTAAAGCCTACTGTGCCCAACTTGGTTTTCGTTACTTAGGACGCTGAGGGGCATGAGCAGATGTCCCGCTCAGATAGTAACTCTTGAGGCGAAACCCCCAGTGTTTAGTTCCTAAGTAAGCTTGGTACTTTTTTATCGACCCACTGCAGGGATGAAAGGCTTAGTTGACCTTGCCCAGCCCAGGATTTGAACCCCGGACCAATGGCGTGGATGCGCGGTACGCTACCACTCAGCCACTGGGTTGCACTTTTAATCTAGAACTACTAATGTTACTTTTTCTATGTGTGTGTATTCCTGAAACCACGGAATAAAAATAAGTTTTTAATAGCGAAAAAACACACACCCTATTTGCGATGCACAAATTGAATTCTATTTAAAAATTCCTAAAAATCATGTGTGATTGTTTAGCTTTCAAAATCAATAGAGATCAAAATTTATTTTAACTGTGGCTTTCAAATTTGAGATATTCACAAATATAGTTTTTTTAATTGATGAGTACTAGAATTTTACTTCTATAAACATCAACTAATTCATTTTAGTCGATTTTTAAACCATCAATTATAGAACATTTTTGTATGTATTTAAAGAGGTGCAATAAACTTGAAATATTTCTATTCGCTTTCGTAAGTTTTGTAATTTAAATTACATATGCAGTTGCAACAAGTAAAATTAATAAATACTTTAATGTATATATATATATATATTATATATATATATATATATATATATATACTTGTTAATGGTTTCTTAAAATTTTTTTGAAGTTTTCTGAGTGTTGCATCACTTATATTTATAATCATGCCCATACAAATCTGATTTGAAACCCTTAATCTCTCGGCGGGCGTGTTAACCGATTACTGGCGCGTTTTAAACACTTTTTAACTACTTTAAATAATGGTTAAAAAGTAAATCGTTAAATCCCGCTCTAATTATTACATCGCAGGAAACAACTGAATAAAGATTTAGTTTCTACTTTTTTCTTTAATTTTACTTTTTATTCTTTAACTAATTTCCCTGAATGAGAGAAATAATATAGTGCATTTATTATTTAAAATTCAATTTTAAACATTTCAACTGATGATTATTTTATAAAACTTCTTTCTCTAAATTCGGCTCAATCTGTGAAATTATTTAAGTGACGCACAATTCTCATGAATCAACGTATTAAAAATATGCATATGACATTATATGACGGCGAATTTTTTATTCGATGTTTTTTTAGATTTTTTCTATTAAAAACCATTAATTCTTAAGCAACTGAAAATTTAGTACTAAAATTCCAACTTAGACTCTTCAATTCATATGAAATGTATTTAATATCAAGTATTCACACTAAAAATCGATTATTATTTCTTTTTAAATTTTTTTCAGGGTTTTTTTTTTTTGAAGCTAAAGTTTGTTTTTTAGGTTTTTTCGAAGTTATAGCTCTGCTGTTGTACTTTAAAAGTTCATAATAAAATTTTAAGTGTGGTGAAGTTAATTTTTTTTTAATCTCAATTTTTTATAAAAGCTTATTTATTTTGGGAGAATTTAATACATTTTTTTCACAACTTGGCAGACTGATTTTATGACTTAGTGGCAAAGTGTCAAAAGCGCTCACTTAATTTTCTGTCATTGATAAAAATCTTTTGGGTTGCTAATTACTGCTAAATAAAATATAACTTTTAATACTCTTCCATTTATTACATAAGTTCTGAACTTACGCATTTCGAATTATGGTTTTTCATTGTGCATGTCGGATTTCAAACATGTTAATTTAATTTCGAATAAAAATTAGGATTCGGTTGATGAGGATTTCAGAGTATAATAACGAAAATATATTAATAACTTAATTCATTTTTACCAACATCTTTTTTATAACTATCGTGGTATGTTCCTTCCTTTTAAACGTCTTAAGAGTTAAAAAAATAAATAATGCATTTTTCATTAATGAAATATTGATCAACGTTTTCTAATTGCTTATATTTTTATCATGCGGACATGCTTTTTAACGTGTTTTAAAATATTTGTAAAATTTATTAAAAATGTATCAATGATCGTAGAAATTTTGAAAAAAAGTAAATCGAACTAAATCCGTAACTAAGAAAAAAAATTCTTTGCATAGTGTTGAGGGAAAGGTTTTTAAAGACATCCAAATAGTATTAATCCAATATGATAAAGAAATGAAAAAAATGATATTTATCATTCCACAATCTAAGATGAATTTCTATTCATAAAAGGGAATTTTAATAATAAGTTTTTCGCCAAATTTCTTTTTAATTTTAATACTGCAGCTTTTTTCTAAAGTTTGATAAAACTATTCATCTTGATGTACGAGTAACCTTTTCTAAGGCTTGCCTAGAATATCTACATTTAGATATATTTTACTGCGTACAACTGTTTTCGATTTTAAAGTTAGCTGTATATGAACTGATTGCAATGTAATGTCATTATAATTATGCTCAATGCCTGTATTTTAGAATTTTTTTTAAGTGTTTTAAATCGGAATACATTGAACAAATGTTTTGCTGAATACTAAAGCTATGTTATAGTTATTTTTTTTCTGTAATTTATTTTAATAATTTAATAATTATGTTTTGATAACAACTGTGTCCTGCATCCTAGACTAACAATAACAGCTAATAAATATTTTACGTAAGTATTTGAAACACTTAAATACTAGGGAAGATAAAAACTCATCCTAAACTATGAATTAGTTTTATCCTTATTAGGTACTAATCTCATGCATGAAATTAAATCAAAATACTAAAGACATATAACTTCTTCTTTTTTTGTAAATTGATTAATAGTTAAGATAATTATTCTTTTTTAGCAGATTTTTACCTAAATACTTTCTATAATAGCAATTCTTGAGAAATTCCTTTGACAAGTCCTCTTATTTTTTTTATTGAATGACAACTAAATTCCAGATTAAACACTTAATTTGAACTAGCTAATTTTCATTTAAACATTGCTAAGATGTGAATTAGACATGTAGCGTTGGGGAAACTTATAATATATCTACAATAAATTTGATTTAATGTAATTGAATATTCAGCATATAAAATTTAAAAAACGCAGAGGAAAAACAGGAATACAGTCTTGACTTTAAAAAAAAACATTTTTTACATTTTATTGGTATTATTGAATTCAATTTCATTTTTGACATCATAATTGTATGACGTGAAAAAATTAGTAACTTGCTTTGTCGTTTTTAAATTATTCATTGATCATTAAAAAGAGACAATGAGCAAAATTTTCCTGAAAATAAGATGCAAATTTTAAGTTTTTACATAAGTATGAGAAAAGACATTAAATCCTTATTTCGATTCCTACTATTAGTTCACTCTCACACTATATATATAGTTCAAATTTTCAGTCCGTTGATAAAATACTTTCATCCACATTCCAGTTCAAATACATTTTTTTAAACTTGTAGTGGATGACTCATGATGTTAATACAGTTTTTTCAAATATTATTTCATTAATTTAACTAAAAAATGAATAAGTAGTAACAAAAAATAATAGTTCTACAACATATATAGAAAAAATCGTTCATTGTGTCCCTGTAGCACATTGGATAGTGCGTTGGACTTCAAATCAAAAGGTCGTGGGTTGGAATCCCACTGGGGATGGCCTAATTTCTGAGAATATGATTTCTTTTTCACGATACTATTTTGTTAGAATAATTAAATTTAATTAATGAATAAATAGTAACAAACGAAAGAAATAGTCCAACACCTTATATAAGAAGGAAATAGGAAAATTGCAAGGAAAGTCGCTTTCTATTTTGTCACTTAATAGTGTGATTCTGTCATATGTATATCCATATTTATATTAATTGTAACTACTTAATAAAAAGTAACTAAAATATAAATTTTCTTTGTTGACCTAAGTAGGAATTGACTTAAAAAATTGTTTTTATTTACAGGTCCTGAATCATGACCAGTTTTGGACACCGGTGAATAGAAGAGTCTGGAAACTGATCAGACGTCGCCTAAAAATCATACTGATCATCTCTTTCAAGTTTTAAAAACAAAAATACTTCACAAATCGTACTTTTTGCTCTTCACTTTAGTGAAGCTACCAAGATGGTAACATTTAAGTGCCGAGAAATCGTTGTTCTATGTGAACACTGAAGAACTGGTGTGTGTTCCCAGAATAAATCGGAAAATTTCGAATTCAAAGACATAAATAACCACCACCCTGGGAGAGAAGACAGACAGTAAAGAGGCTCCTCGTTTGACGAAAGTCTTATAATTCGGAACTACACAAGAATAAAAGAATACTATTTACTGCCTACCCTGGTTTTTACTCCTTTAAGATGCCGATTAGCGAATGGAAGCTCTTCTGACTGCAGCTTCTGAAAAGCTCACCGGTCGTGTTGAAGTGAAACTGTGATTGTTCTTTCTTACAAAAAATCTGACATTTTCAGTATAAAATACTCAATGGCGTAATTATAGATTATTATTGAAACAACTTGAATATACGTTGTGTAAATTTCTGAAAAAAGTAAATATTTTAAAAAAAACTTTTTTTTTTTTTTTTTTTTTTTTTTTTTTTTTTGTAAATGCTAAGCCAATGACTGGAAGTTATTTTTTTTCCTTCTGCTGTTTGTTTGAAAGTGTAGATTTTGTACAAGTTTGTATGGAAATGTGATCTGTTTTGGATCTAAAGTTGCTTATTGAAGAAGTGAATCAAGTTTAAGGTTCATTTAATATTTTAGTTTTTTCCTCTCTGTTGCTCTTATAATTGCTCTTTATTTTTGTTTTTTACTCATCTTTTTTTTTAAGTAGGCAATTCTTTCATAGATAAGAAAAATTCATCGCAAAGAATTATTTAAATATTTTGATTCAAACAAGTACATTAAGATACGTCGAAAATCCTTTTTTTTTTAATTTAAAATTTTTCTAAATTAAACTTTTATAAAAATACAATAACATTTTAAGTAACGTTCCTTTTAGAAAAAGTGTTTCCTCTGTAAAAAAATCATATTAAAATTTAAAATATAGATTAATTTTCATGATTATAGATTTGGTCTCTTTTCCGTTGTTTTTTAAGTTCTACTTATTTCGATGACAATTGCTTCGGTAATTATTAAAAATTAATTTAGTTATAACTGCATTCTCTAAAATTACTTATAGTTCAAAATCTAATTAAATTTTAGATATTTAATGACGTAAAATTGTGATTCAAACTACAATCAAATAAGTAATAAAATTTTGAAAATGTTCACCGAAAATAAAATGTAAAAAAGATCAACTTGAGTACTATTTTTAAGTCACCTATTATTGAAGCAAGTGTTATTTATCCCATCGAAATCGACAAGAATTTTTATTGGTGTATTAAATTGCAGCAGAATTGAATTTTTCTGCAAATGAGTATTATACTTATTCTGTGAGAGTAACTATTTTTCTAATCCCTGTTATACCCACCGTCTATTACAATGTTAAGCTGTAGATCAGGAATTATTTTGCAGGGAACTTTCCTGATGGGAAGAGGAAAAAATTTGAAGGAAGATGTTTTATGTTTAAAAAAATTATTATGTGTGCTGTATAATAAATATACACACTACACTTATAAAAAAAATTAACCATTGTAAAAAAATTATCTTGAGGTTTGATGAAACTGTGTCTTTGTGTGAAGTGAAATATATTTCGCGACTTCATATCTTACATGTTCAGTGTACGAATCAGCGATGTCGTGTTTATTGATAAGTAATGTTTTATTTGATACATTATACTTTTAATTTTACTTATAAAAAAGTTCTTTAAATTTCATAATAATGACAATCACTCTTTCGAAAAATACATTTTTTTTTGTTGAAATAATTCGTAAATAGATTAAAAATAACATTCATAATAAATTCTAATTTAAAATTTAACCTTTTTGAAACTGATCTTATAAAAAACTTAATGAAAAATATATAATAACATTACTATTCAGGATGATAAAGTGTGCAGTCATCCTGAATTTTTATTAATAATAAAAGTTATTTTAAAGAAAAAAGCAGATAATTCATCTCTGTAACACTGAACATGAGGTACTACAATTTTCTTTATGGTGATTCATTCAATGGGGATAAAAAAATTTTAGCACAAAAACTTCTACATTTTATTAATATTATGGAAGTTTACTAATCTTAAGTGATATTAAATTTGTGTAAATTCTTATAGTTGTAAATGTTTTGTGAGATATGATTTATGTTTATATGTTTTTGTTAAGTTTATATTTTTATGTAACATAATATTTTAAGTTTTTTTTTCTTTTCCTTTCAAAAATTTAATCATTAGTTGAAAATTATGTTATGTAATGTTCATTTACAGAATATAAGAAAAATAACATGATTCTTTTGTTAACTAGAGTTTTTGTTTTGAATTTATGATTTCATTTATGTTTAGGTATATAAAAGTCATTATACTAATCACTTTTATGCATCTGTCTGGAAAAAAAAGTTCTGATATTTTCTTTCTGGTCTGATAAATTTTAATTTTTTGAATATCGATATTTTCTTAATTTTATATTTTTAAACAAAATTTTTCAATTTTTGATGGCTAGGGAACATTTCGTTTGTTACGTAAAGTTTTTAATTGCATTTAAAACATGTAACTCTTGATAAAACTCGTCAATAAATCGTGTTTGTGTTTCTCCCAAAGGTTTTGTTGTAAGATCAAAATAGCCGATCTACCACCGATCACCCTAGAGATTAACTCTAGTTTATTGTACCAATTCTTTTAAACTTTTGTTACTTTTGTCTTTTATTTTAGATTCATGTTATATTAAATAAATATTGTTATCATTGAAGTAACTATGTCTCTCTTATTACGTTGCATATTTTACAGAGATTTAAAGTTCTAAAACTGTTTGAAAATTTATTAATGGTACAAAAAGTTACAAAATCCATTTTTAAAATCGAAACATTTGATAATGGATTTCATTTTTTATGAAAAATGCATGTTTGGTAATACAATAAATAACATTTCATTAATACATCAGAAGAAATTTCAAATAAAAAGAGAAAAATAAAATAAGATGTATTGTAAGGGGATAAAGAAACTCTTAGCTGGTTCCCAAATAATATATGGTTATTTAAAATAAATTTTGAATGGACTTAATTCATGCGACGTCATAGTCCCATGATAAATACAATCACATGTTTCCATCCAAATTAGATCCCGCGTTTTATTGTTGCCAACTTTTGCACATTGCAGAAACTTTCTTTAAAAAAATGCATAGTGGTTAACAAGAACTCATGTATGTAAACAAATTACACTTGATTTTATATAAAGCACCCATATAATATAAGAATATATTTTTTTCTTTACTTTAAAGAAATTTTTGGTGGATCTTAATGCTTAGACTTCTGTACCCAATTATCATATTTTAAAATGTATCTGGATTTTGCAAATACATGTCTAATGTCTACTTTGAATTCAAAGGGAAACGCGTAATTCCTCTAACTATGTAACCATCATGAATATAGCCCATTATTATTATGTTGCCACTATTTTTTTCAGTTACTAATAACATTAATGCCACATATTTAAAATTATGAAGTAAAATAATTTAAACGATTCTTCCATTTAAACTTTCAGAAAAATAATCCTGCGACTGAGTATAAAAGAGTCAACTCTCTTATCTTTCCTTTATATTGAAAAAAAAGCATAGCATTTTATATGCAATTGTTTTCTTTACCTTGACATACACTTTAATGCTATAAAGTATTTGCTTTTATTGGTATGAAAACAATATTGTGAGCATTCTTTTCTTGGATGTAGAATGTAATTTCTAATTTGCGCGCATTATGAAAGTTCTACAGATGCCATATTACACAAATTTAAAAAAATCAAGTTAACTTTTTTTAATATTAAAAAAAATATTTAATTTTGTTTTATGATTAAAAATAATTGCTGATAGAAAAAATTATTACTCGAATATATAAATTAATTTCTCTTAATATTTTTAAATTCAGTCAATAACAATTTTATTATTACTTATAATTAAGAGAAATATGTATATTTTTGATGTTATTTGGAAGTTTCCTTTAATCAAAATCGACATAGGAATGGCATATTTTAGGAGATAACTAATTTATGTTCTTTATTTTCTGTATGCATATAGATGCGGAAAAAATTTTTATATTTGAAGGAACTTAACTTGTTATATAAACTAAATGATAAGCTCTACAATCACGAATTTGTAATGCTAGATTCAAATTGTATGTCAATGGTTTCTGACTACATTTTTTTTTTGTTGCAGGAAATACATATTTTTTTTTATTTATTGTTGTTAGAACCCAAGAGCTTTTGTGGTTAATGACCATTGATTGCTGATATAACTTAATATGGATTGCTTATATAACTAAAAGAAACATTTAATATTAAAAAAAAATATTTTAGTTACTTTTTATTAAGTAGTTGCAATTAATATAAATATGTATATACATATGACCGAATCACAATATTAAGTGACAAAATAGAAAGCGATTTTCCTTGATATTTTCCTTTCTATATATAGTGCTTGACTATTTTTTTGTTTGTTACTATTTACTCATTTATTAAATTGAATTATTCTAATAAAATATTACAGTAAAAAAAATCACACATTCTCAGAAATACGGCCAACCCTCAGGTGGGATTCGAACCCACGAACTGCTTTGAATTAGAAGTCCAAAGCACTATCCATTGCGACGAACTTTTCCTTTCTATATATGCTGTTGGATTAGTATTTGTTTGTTACTACTTATTCCTTTTTAAATATAATTAATGAATTAATATTTGAAAAAACTGTTTTAATATCAATGACATCCAGTACAAGTTTAAAAAAATGTATTTGAATTTGAATGGATAAATAGAAAGTATTTTACTAACGATTGAAAATTTGAACAAGATATATATATATATAACAGGGAGAGTGTGAACTAATAGTAGGAATTGAAAAAAATCGAAATGCGAATACTAATGTAAATATACAAAGTGCAGAGAAAGAAATCAGCCCTTGATCAGTTTATCAATGTTCATAGAACATAAGAATCGATAGAAATTAATTATGGGTACTTTAAATGTTTATAATTTTTCCCTTACATTTTTAAATGATGTACAGATCATTAATACCCGATTATAATAAATTTATGAACATAATAGGTTTGGGAAGAGGAAAAAGATTTGTCTAGTTCAAACATCTAAGGAACAAAAATTGTCAAAAAGGCAGCTTATAAAATGTTTGGGGAATCTCAAAATGTATAAATTTGATATTTTATATTGTATATTATTCAGTTTTTCTTTCTTTTTAGGTACATTAAAACATCTCTAATTAAAATACTCAATTTATGACACATCTCAATTACTAGGATATTTGTAATAAGAGCACCCTTCTTATTGACAAATGCAACCTGTGTGTTTTTCTTGAGCTTATTTATACACCGAATTCATCTGGATAAAGAAAAGTTGTACGCTTTTTATCTCATTTAAGGAATTGCATCTCTTAGTGCTTCATTTTGTCACAGTCTCGACAACGAAAGTTTTTCCTTCGATGTAGGAGAAGGCCTGTTTTAAATAGAAAGTGTTCTAATTTAACAATTTCAACTTGGCACGAGTCTGCTCTTCTTTTCCAAATCCTGGTTGTATCCTTATATTTGGATAAAATGATGTACGCAATTAAAGTAAATGATGATTGGATTTTGATGACAGATCCAACCTCTAAAACGCCACAGAATTTGGACAGTGACGAGATAACTTTCTCTTTGCATATTCCTTTATTTTTCAGGCTTGGAAGGGCTTTACTGTCATAAATGTAGATTTTAATTCTTAATAACATTAATTATCACATGTTTAGAAATAAGGGATATTTTCCGAGTTTACAAAAGCGGCAGAGCAAATATATATAATCTTTGCAAATATATATTTCTCTTAAAAATTATTTGAAATCTTTCTCCTTTGATTTTTTTTTTATAAAACTGATAAAAGAATCTGTTAAATGGCTAGAACTTTTTTGGATGAATTTGATGAAGATATTTAGACCTAAGATAAACTACGACAAAAAAGGAGTGCCTATCTAATTTTCTTTTATTTTTGCTATTGAAGTATTAATATCTATCTTTTAGAATGCAACATTAACTGAAAGTTTGAAGTTTAACATTTTAAATATTTAGTTGCGGAAAATCACATTTCCAAAATTTGTAAGAAAAGAGAGGAAAAAAGGGGTCTAAAATAGCTTTCTATTTTCGATAAGTTTAATTACATTTAGAAAACTTCTAACTATGGTTTTGTCTTCGTTATGATTACCTAAATAAATACGAAGCTTTTATTTATGACAGAAAGCTCCGTATTTTATGTATTATACTTTATGTTCATGCCATTAGGTATTATATTACACCTCAATTTTAATTTATTTGCATAATAGTATGTAACACATTTTTTATTCAAAAAAATACTTAAAAGTAATTTTAGTTTTTTTCCGGTAACACTTTACACAATTGTTGGATAAGCAGAATAGTACTTACTGTCTTGCCTGCTAGGTATATTATTAAATTGTATTATCTGCAGTTAATAAAAATATACAGAAAAGTTACAATCAAATGTATTTAAAAATTACATTGATTCTTAAAACTCAAATAGATTGCTGCAAATTTTCATTTCAAATCCAAATGCTTAATAACTTTAAAGGGTAAATTTATCAGTCCGTTCTAATTAACAAAACACTTTCAACAGAATGTTGAAGATAGCATGAGCAAAAAAGATGTTAAAGACCTAAAATAATTAGATCATTGCAAAAAAAAAATATCTTTTTAATTAACACGCTTTTATAAGTTTCACTTGCATGTAACAGAATCTTAGAACTCGATTTTTACCCAATTTAAAAGATTGGATTAATTCGAAATTTTGTACACTTGTCAAGGATCGATGACAATACAATAATTTCAAAATTTTGTTCCATTGTCCTTATCAGGATCGTGAGGAATAACGATAATCAGATTTGGCGACAATTCCACATACAACATCCAGATTTGGCGACTTATTGCATATACAATTTTCAAATTTGGCGTCTAATTACATATACCATTTTCAGATTTGGCGACTAATTCCAGATTTAGCGATTAGAAGAATAAGGTGTAACCCCAACAGCGAATGTTTTTAATTTGAAGCTAATTATATGCAAGTGTAAAATACACTTGTGTTTATTACAAATAAAACAAAAAAAAAGTGTTCTTTAAATGAGAAAGTGGAAGGTGAGTGTATGTTCGCAATTTCTAACCATAATATAAACATTTTACTGCAAATGAAAATAAAAAAAAGGCTCGTGCATGTGAAAAAAAATAGTTTATGTTCTGACTGCTATAAATATTTTTTATTTTTATAAAGTAATACGTTTAGAAGTGATGATACGAATTAACATAATAGCAATACGTTTAAAAGGGGATAATACGATTGGCACTTGATATTACCATGTTTTCATTAACTCGCTTTCTTGAATGTCTGTCCGGGTGGAATTTTGTAATTGATTTTAAACTGTGTGACTTTCCGATGAGCTAGAGACTTGAAATGTGGATCATATCTTAGAAATGGATGACAAGGCATAAAAATTTGAAAAAAGGAAAAAAAAAAAACGAAAAGGAGAAATTTTATACTTTTTAGTCCGTTATAAAAACACGGCACATTAAATTTTTTTCAATCCGAAATTTTTCTTCTTAACACACTTTTATTTGTTTGACCTGTTCTATAGAGACGAAATCTAATATAACGATACGGGACTCATCAGAGACCCCGTAAACGAAGAGAATAAATACACTTCAGAGACCCGTTAATTAATATCCACTGAAGAGCAGAACTAATTCCAGCAGCCACGTAATTACAGCATCAAATATGAAACTCAAGGATAAATTGAACAGTGAATAAATGATAGTTTAAAAAACTAAAAAACACGCTTTTATTGTAGATAGAATTAAACAAATGAAAAATAAATTATAGTTTTAAAAAAAACGAAAAAACACGCTTTTATACTGAATCGAATTAAAAAGTAAAAAAATAATTCTTAATATAATAATAAAATGATGAACGAGAAAATTAATGTCATTGGGGTAAAAGCGAGGGGTGTTCTATAAATATATCAATTGTTATAGTTTCTAACTTGTTTCAATTCCGAAATTGCACCCCACGCTTTTACCCCAATGACATTCATTTTCTCGTTCATCATTTTATTCTTATATTAAGAATTATTTTTTTACTTTTTAGTTCGATTCAGTATAAAAGCGTGTTTTTTCGTTTTTTTAAAACTATAATTTATCAGAAGATACCCAAAATAAATTTACTGTAACTGGCTTTCGGAAAATGAATAATGTTTTGTTTTCAAATCCAAACGTAATAAAAAGGGAAGAACCTCCCCTCAAAAAGTTAAATTCATTCAAAAAGTTTTTTCTCGTGGCCTACAAGTGTGTATGTGTGTGTGTTTTTCACATCTGCATAATCTTTTCTAAGTAAATAAATGTCGTGTTGTCCCTGTCAATTCGGTGCTTAACTTTATACGTGTAGTGTGTTGATTTGATCAATCTCAAATAAGACATATTGCAAATATTTTAGCGTTATACGTTTCTAAGAAATGTAGTTTTTTATTTACTAGTTCTACTCTGGCCTGTGAAAATAAAAGTAAACGATACTGCTAATATCTTGCATGATAAAATGACTTATTCTACACATATTCTCTAAATACTCGAATCTAAGCCGCACTATTTTTTCAGTGTCTAATGCTACTGAAAATCGGGAGCGGCTTAGAATCGAAGGCAAAACGTTTTTTAGGTGAAAGAAATTGATTTACAGCACCTTTCAAAAGGAAAATTGTAACCGTTCATTCTATGCACTTGCATCCATGGATAACGTGACCATTTATTCTTTGACTCAAAACAGGACATTAATTTGGTTAGGCCAGTTAACAGGTATACATTGGAAAAAAAACCCTACTTTTTTAAAGTTGTTTATTCAGAAAAAGTTAGCTTAAAAGTTACGAATTAAATAATATACCCTAAATGTTTAGTTATATTTATATTCATCAGAGGAAAAATTTGCTTTAATATAGCTGGTGAAGATTTTAAGTAAGAATGAAACTCTTGGAACGTTTTTTTTCCTTCATATTCACCTTAATATATTATCAACATCATCTTTAGAACTGAAGTTAGTTGCTGGGTTTTCTCAGATGTCCACAATTTGTTCATCATAGAAAATACTCTTTCTACTGGAGCCCCCATTTGTAGCAGGCAAACATAAAATATATTCAAATAAAATAGAAAAGTTTTCATGCTGTAGATTGTTGGCGTGAAAGTGTTTGAATATTTCCACCCAACGAGTTTCCGTGGAAACATTTAGATCCTTTTTATTTGGTTACTTTTTGCGATGTAATGTAGTTAGAAATTAATAGAAATTTGTCAAAAACTTCTGTATATTTATTACAGTCAATATACTCCTTTTCAATTAATAAATCCAGAGATTTTTGAACGTCTTCCCATGCGGGGACCTTTTTTAAATCTGCCCAATAAAATATCTCCATTACTTTGGCAAGAAAGCAAGTTCACTGCTCCAGATATTTACGTCTTAATTTATAAAATTCTATAGCCGTCCCCTTTTCACAAACTCATCATTTATATAAGTACCATTATCTTTTGATTTCACCATTAATTAACGGACCGTAAATGGAAGAGACTGA